CGCCGCGCGGCGCCGGCCCGGCGCGGCGTTGGCGTGGGGGTCGGGGCCACGCTCCTCACGAGCCCTCTCGCCGCCCCGCTCCGCAGGAACGTGATGAGCAGCCAGGAAGTGGTGGATTTCATCCAGGCCAAGATCACCCAGCAGGACGAAAACGGAGCCCTGCGGCCGCTCTCCTCCATCGTAGAAGAGGTGAGGGCAGAGCCCGCCCCGCAGCCGCTGCGTTTGCGGGACGCGGCCCTGCGCGTGGCCGCCTCTGCACGTCCCGTCCCTGCGCGCTGGGGGCGCCACGGCCGCGGGGGCTGTTGGTGGCCCTTGGGGACGGGTGGGACGGACGCGAGCCCAGCTCTGCTGCAGACCCAGAGCTGCCGCCCGGCGTCTCGGGTCGCTGCGCGGCGGCTCCGTGCGCTGCTAACCCGTCCTGTCCTGCCCTCCGCAGCTGCTGGATCAGTGTTTGGCTCCGGACACCTCAGGGGACGGCACTGGCTGTGACAACATGACCTGCATCATCATCAGCTTCAAACCCCGCAACACGCACAGCCCCGCTGAGAGCGGGAAGAGGAAACTGGAGGACACGGCAGCACCAGCAGAAGAGAACGGCAGCGATAACAGCAAGAAGACCAAGCTGGAATAGCAGGCCTGGCTCAGAGACTTTGCTGCGCACTCACCAGACTCTTGTTTCTTAAACATGCTGAACTCAAGACTCCAAAGTCTTGTCCTTTTTTTAGCCTTAGCAGAGGCCTTGTCTGTCCGTGTCGGGGTGGGGGGTGGTTAGCAAGGGCATGTCACAATGTCACACGTTCATTTGTAGCCATTCCAAAGAGCGAGGCCAGGGCCGAGCCGCAGCGGAGCCGCCGGCCGCGGCGCAGGAGCCCGGCGCGAGCGGCGCCCATGGCACCGAGGCCTGTGGTTAGAAGATATCCCCTGTTGTCTCCATGTGGTTGTTGCCATTTCTGTGCCTGTGACTTTCTGTTTGGAGGGAAGAACTTTTTCACTGTGGAGGTTTTTTAATCTGCACCCGATTATTTAAGGCCCTTTCTGTTTTTATTTGTGAAACAATCTGGTAGTGGTGCTGCTGCCACACCTTGTTCTGTTGTACACTTTCAATCAATACTTTTTCAAACTAAAAGCCCAGAAAACAGCCCTGTGTTGGTCCGTGGTTCCTTCCTGGAGGAAGCTGGGGCAGGAGGGCCGGGAAGGCGCCGCAGGGGGCAGCTGCTGCCGTCGGTGCTCGCGGAGGCTCCGCAGCGGGGACGGGGCTCAGGGCGCTGCCCGCGGGGCCGGGCCGGGCACGCGGGGAAGCCCC